ATGAACGTTCTCAAATTTATCTATCTATCTATCTATCTATCTATCTATCTATCTGAGGCACGGTGGAGTAAGGTTAAACACGTGCATCAAAATAAATCCTACATTTTGCCTTGATAAAGTCCCTCCGAGGACGAAACGCTTTAACTAAGATTATTTTTTCTTCTTGTAAAAAAAAAAAAAAAAAAAAACAGCAAAAAATCCTCGATAATGGCTAAAAGCATAGCCGAAAGACCTCGTACATACAGAACATTTGGGCAATTTTTAGGTACTTTATGTCCAGAGGGGAAGCAAATTATAAGAACACAAGAAAAATTAAATAAAAACTGAAAACCATAGTACTTTGTAGTATCGTTTAATGAAACTTGTATAACAGAGATTGCTTGTGAAATGCATATATATATATATATATATATATATATATATATATATATATATATATATATATATATATATATATCTGTGTGTGTGTATTCTTAATTTCCAAATATGGCCATTACATTGTGTCCGTGTTAGTAATTAATGTTATGAAGTGTTGGCTATCAAGACAGCTAATTTTATATCTCCGACCAGAGCTCAATACGGACACATTTCATCAGGGAATCAACCATCAGGGAATCGTACCAACATCAATACGTAACATACTCGTCGAGAACCCGTATGTGGTACGTGCCTCCCACTTCCAAAAGCGTTTGGAAGCCCTTATAAAAAATAAGAAATAAACTAAACCATAATAATATTAATTAGGAACACGGCCTCAATGTACTGGTCGTATTTGTAAAATCACTTTGGGCTCTTCTACTATACTTGTGAAAGATCCTACGATATCTTACTTGCTAGTCGGTTTTTTTTCTGTCGCCTTCTTTTCTCTGTACATAGAGACTGTAGTCAAGATTATATGAAGGTTTAAAGCACTAATTTTGATTTCGATATTTAGTTCCTTCAATGTTCATGTAGTCGCGATTACAGTCTCTATATATAGAGAAAAGAAGGTGAAAGAAAGAAAATCGACTAGCATGGAAGATATTGTAAGATCATCCACAGGTATATCAAAATATCCCGGAGTGATTAAAAAATGTAGGCATGTTTGGGTCGGAGCGGTTATTCGTTTGGAATTGTGCAATTTGACCAGGTTGCATTTAAATTGGTTTATTTAACGACGTATCAATTTTTGTCAGTCAATTTCATGTCGAATATAATTTTTATATAATAAGAGTCACAATGAATTAATAAATAAATAAGTAGACATACGTCTGGTTTACACGCGAGTCCCAAAGGGTAGCCATAGGTCATGCTTATGCTCGAGGAAAAAATGTAGACATAAGTCACGTTTACATTTGAATAAAAAAAGGTAGAAATGACTTCGATTTATAGTTGTTTTAAATGACAGACCTAGGTCCGAGTTAGACCAGAGGCAATACAATAGACAAAAGACTAGTTTAAATTAGAAACAGTATGGATATCAATATTACACCAAGGAGAAAAAGGTATGAATATTTTTGGTTAGAACTAGAGCGGAAAAGGTAGACATCGGTCAAGTTTACGTTAGAGGCAAAAAGGCAGACATATCCATGGTTTACTCTAGAGAAAAAATGGCGGACATCAGCCTGGTTCACATTAGAATAAAAATAGAAATAAGTCAAGTTGAGACCAGAGTCAAAAACGTAGACAATGCTTCTACTTTACTGTCTCTTGTTTAGTCAAGAGACAATAAAGTAGACATAAGTCTCGTTTACACTAGAGTACAAAAGGTGGACATATGCGTGGTTTACACAAGAATCAAAAAGGTAGACAATGCTTCTACTTTACTGTCTCTTGTTGTTTAGACAAGAGACAATAAAGTAGACATAGGTCTCGTTTACACTAGAGTACAAGAGGTGGACATATGCCTGGTTTACACTAGAATCAAAAAGGTAGACAATGCTTCTATTTTATTGTGTCTTGTTGTTTAGACATGTACACTTGTTCAATGTGCATTTCCCCGGTCTCCAGATCTCACACTCATCATCATCTTGTGGCCTCAGCCGAGATTGAACTCATAATCTTGTCAATTAGCTGAATTCTTGATGCTTCGCTAGGGCTATCAAGGGTGTTTTTATCGTGACACCAACACTAAATGGATTTCCAACCAAGGCTCAGAGAGACTCCATTCACTCTCATCTAAGAGCAGGTTTGAATTCAGAGTTTTCCTTCTCCTAGACCAGTCTGTCCTGCTATTTACCCATAGCTGGAGGGAGAAGAAAGAGGATTCACACCTTTCCAAAGGGTATTAGCACGTAAGTGAATGTAATGGATTCGACTGGAATTCGAACTCGGCTCTCCGATTCCTCAATCCAAGCCGCTATCCATTACTCCACCGTGCCTCCCAGCCATCTCACACTATTCGATTTCTTTTTCCGGAGGTTTGTGAAAGGACTTGTCCATGTGACTCTTCTTCCAAAAGACGTGGATGACCTTAAGGCCCGAATAACGGAAGCTGTTGCAACCATGGAACGGGTTTGGCATGAATTGGACTATCAACTTTGATGCGTGCCGTGTAACCAACGGTGCTCACATTAAACATCATTGAACATTCCATGGAAAACCAGAATATGTCAGGCACGTTTTTATATCCTTAACAGTTTTCGAGATATTCAGTATCAAAATGTTCCCAAGACTTTTGGAACACCCTGTATATTAACAGATAATAATAGTAATATTTGTTATTAAGTGACGGAGAAAGAAATAAATATTCATAGATAGATAAATAAACAGGTATAAACATGAGAAAGATATATAGATAGATATGAACACATTTAGAATATATAGATAGATCAGTTATGTGCCATGCCAGGTGATCATGTATATCTTTCGATACATGACTGACGAGTCTGATCTTTTTTCCCGCAGTAGGTTGCCATTTCTTTCTGCGGTAAACCAGTTGCCATCTAAGGATATAAAAACCAGTGTGTCCTGCTATTTGCCCATAACTGGGGATGAGGTGGGGAGAAGGGTATTAGCACGTAAGTGAATGCAATTGGAATTCGAACTCGGCTCTCCGATTCCTCACCCCGAACCGCTATCCATTACTCCACTGTGCCTTAGTTAGTCAGTTAGTTAGATAGATAGATATTGTTGAAATAACGGTGTTAGTTTTGGATATATATATATATATATATATATATATATATATATATATATATATATATATATATATATATATATATATATATATATATATATATATATATATATATATATATATATATATATATATATATATATATATATATATATATATGTCGTTACTGTAATTTTTGCCGCTCAATTGAAGCAGTTTAAGTTTAAAGTCAGCCCAGCCGAAAATCACTATTAGTAACAACAACTGGCTGCAATTGAGGCACACCCGAAAATGGGGGTAGGGGTAACAATTTGAAGTCGGGGCTGAAAAAAGGGCCGTTTTGGCGTTCTCAATCTTGTTTGTCTTACGCGTCGTTGAATCCTTTGGTCATCATTTTCAGCCATTCGATCAGAAACGTTTAGATGAAATCCGTGGAAATTATTGGAATAATTTAAATTATTTATTTTTATTTAAATTTTTTTTTTTTTTTTTATAAAAGATACACATTTAAGAACACGCAGTAATTAGTAAAACGTTGCTGAGAATTATAATGGACAGGAAGTAGTGGAGAGCCATGGCCGCCAACAATTTGAACTCAAAACCGGCACTGAAGAATTATCTATCAAACAAAGAAAATTTCATCGAAATTGGATGAAAACTGTGGAAACGCATGAACAACATCCGATCACACACGCACATACATACACACATATTTTGTGAATTTTATATATATATATATATATATATATATATAATCTATTTCAGTCTGTTTAGACACACAGGCACATACATCTATCTATCTATCTATCTATCTATCTATCTATATATATATATATATATATATATATATATATATATATAAATCATTCCCTATACTCTACCATGTCTCTTTAACTATCCCTTTTACAGTCTCTGTTAAATTACAAAAACTTACACTAGTCATCAATCTTAATTTCATTTTTCGTTTCATTTCATTTTTGGAAGTTCTATCTGATAATCCGGTGTCCTTTAAAAGGACTCTGGTGAAATAAATTATTATAATGGTACCTTAAGGTGGTCTGTTTTTCTTTTAAAATATATATATATATATATATATATATATATATGCAGGGTGATATGTAAGTTCATATTTTAAAATAATTATTAATTATTTATCGTAATTTTTGTTTCAATTTTTTTCTGTTTGATCTTTAATGTATAAGAATTTAATTTGTTTGTATCTGTCTTTTCAGATGGATTATTTTGTTTGAAATTTGGAAGAAATACCAACATGGCTGAACGACATCCCGCAGGAACGTGCTCAGCTCGTGGCACGTTATGAAGTTTTAAAATCCTTTTTTCGAGTAAAAAGATGGTGGAGGACCATTAGAGGAGTATATACTCAAATTGACGCAAAGACATTCAAGAATTACAGCTCAAAAACTGTTTACACGTAGCCCAAGAAAGTCAATTCGACAAACAGGAATGGAAAATGGGCTCTCCTTTCGCACAAGACGAATTGGGCTCAAGAATGAGCTTTCATGCCAGGCTTGGAATCCGTACTACTGGCAATGACTCTCCACCGAAGACTGCAACATTTGCATGGAGTTTGGGGATCAAACATTGGCTTGCTATAAAGCTTGGACAGATCCTCGAAACTGTCACTATTGAGCAGACGAAGATCCTCTTGTTATCTCAGAGAAAATGCAAAGAAACGGTATAGTGTGGTTGGACTTCAGACAGAATTGTGGCTCCATTCATTCTTTACGATACCATGAATGTCGAAAGGTATTTTACCATGCTATTAAAACCTGTCTATTTCTGTTTGTTCATACACACACACACACACACACACACACACACACAACCTATAAAATACCCACCCACCCATCCACACACACACACACAAAGACATATATATATA